TGAAATTAAAAAGCTTCTGCACAGCCAAGGAAACTATCTTTAGAGCAAATAGACAACCCACAGAATGGGAGAAAATATTTGCTCTCTACACTTCTGATAAAGCTCTAATAACAAGAATCTATCTAGAACTCAAAGGAATTAACAAGAAAAAAAAATCAAACAACCCCATCAAGAAATGGGCAACGGAAATGAACAGAAAATTCTCCAAAGAAGACAGAATAATGGCCTGCAGACATATTTAAAAAATGCTCAACATCTCTAATCATTAGAGAAATGCAAATCAAAACCACAATTAGATACCACCTAATCCCAGTGAGAATGGCCTCTATCAAGAAATCCCAAAACAACAAATGCTGGCGAGGATGTGGAGAGACAGCAACACACTTACATTGCTGCTGGGACTGCAAATCAGTGCAACCTTTGTGGAAAAGAACTTGGAGATACCTCAAACAGCTAAAAATAGAAATACCATGCAACCCAGCAATAGCATTGTTAGGCATCTACCCAAAAGAGCATAAGATATTCTATGATAAAGACATCTGCACCCAAATGTTTATGGCAGCACAATTCATTATTGTAAGGACATGGAAACAACCCAAGTGCCCATCAATTTGTGAGTGGATAATTAAAATTTGGTATATGTTCACCATGAAATATTACTCAATTCTAAGAAATGACAGTGAGCTAATACCACTTATACTATCCTGGATTAAGCTTTAGTCCATTATCCAAAGTGAGGCAACATAAGATCAGGAAAATAGGCTCCACATGTACTCGACATCAAATTGGTACTGACTGATTAAAACTATGGTGCTCAAATGGTGGTAGTGTTCACCAGGTATTTGAGGGTAGAGGGGGTACACCCACATCTTAGGGATGTGGTGAGCGTTGTGGAGGGGAAGGGCATACCTCTAAACCTTCCTAGAGAGAGGCAAAGATATAAAATATAACCAAAATGTAAAAAAAAAAAAATACAAAAACATTTATCCGGTGTTGGGCAGGTGGGAGGGGGAAGGAGGGGATAGGTGTATACTTATGTAATGAGTGCAATGCACACCACCTGGAGGATGGACACGCTTGAGGCTCTGACTTGAGGGGGAGGGGAGGAAAGGGCAATATATGTAACCTTAACAACATTTGTATCCCCATAATATGATGAAATTAAAAAAATTCAGTCTAAATGTGAAGAATATCTAAAAGATGTCCAAAGCATTCAAGAACTTTATGATCTCGTACTTCGTTTTTTAAAATGGTCATCGTGTCCTTGCTTATTCTGTTCTTCATACATCCTTTACATTAAATGTGTTGGTTGCTATTCCTGTAGTCTCTCATCTTCCTATAACCTCTGTCTGCTTTTCTCTTTAATTTCAGAAAGAGGTATTTTTAAATCTCTTGTCTTGTAATTCTCTTAATACTTTCTTCATTTACTTTAAGGCTATATGATTAAATCTATACAAATTTAGAGTTATTATATTTTCTTGGTGATTTAAACCTTTTCTGTAATGATGTGACCTTTTTTAACCTAACAATATTTTTAGATGACATTTCAGGGTATGTATTTTCTTCTCATTTACTTTCAAATGTTCTATTGACTTATGTTTTTAACATGCCACTTGTAAACTACATATGATCAGAAATTGTTTCTTCAGTGACTCTGATATTCTTAGTTTTACAATCAGATCATTTAGATTGCTATTATTTAATATAATCACTAAAATGTTTGGTTTCAATGTACCACCTTATTTTATTCATCCTTCTCTTCCTTTTTCTCTATATTTGCCTTGTTTCAGAGTTGTGGACCTTTCAATTATTCTATTTTTTTCTATAATAGGTTAGAAGTTATACATTTTTTCTATACTTTAAATAGTTACTTTAAGAGTTACAACATGTATTCTTAACTTCTCAGAGGCTAATGAATTTATCAAAGGTCAATCCTAATACTTTATCTCCTTTTGGAAAATAAAAAGAGTTTAAAACACTTAAAATCTATCTTTTCCACTTCTCTCAATTTACAGCTCCTTTTTTATTATATTTTAATTTTGTATATTTTATTTTTAACTTTCCAAATTCATTAAGATTTATCCACACCTATTTTTGTGAGGCATAACATTAGGTGGGAAGTACTTTGATACCACTTTGTACTTTGATACCATTATTTTACTGGCTTAGAAGTGACATTGTTGCTATTCAGAAGTAAATTATCAGAATAACTGATGCTTCTATAAAGGTACTCTTTGTTTCTGTTTTATGATTTTTGTATTTCTTTTTGTTGTTTGGTTGTCTACACTTTTGCCTTGCTATGTCTATATGTATATTTCTTTTCTATTTATTTATTAATTATTTTATTGATTTATTTATTTTATTTTTTCCAGCATATTATGGGGATACAAATGTTAAGGTCACATATAGTTCCCTTGCCCTCCTCCCCCACCTCAAGTCAGAGCTTCAAGTGTGTCCATCCCCTAGTTGGTGCGCATCACACTCATTATGTATGTATATACCCATTCCCTCCCCCCCACCTGCCCGACACCCGATAGATGCTATTCCTGTATGTCCATTCAGCTATAAGAAACAACGGTGATATAGCACCTCTTGTATTTTTCTGGCTAGAGCTGGAACCCATTCTATTAAGTGAAGTATCCCAAGAATTAAAAAATAAGCACCACGTATACTCACCAGCAAATTGGTATTAACTGATCAATACATAAATGGACATATTTATTTATTTTTAACCTTTTCAAAAATGATGCTTAGGGTTCATGGGCTCCTTTTATCTATAGTTTATCTTGTGTCAGTTCTACAAAATGCTCTATTGTTATAGTTTTAAATAGTTCTTTCCTGCATTCTCTCTCCTCTGTCTCTGGTATAATATTTAAAGTACTATTGGATTTTCAGACTGGATCCACTATATTTTTTATCTTTTTGGATCTTCATGCTTTATTTTGCATGGTATATATGGGTTGCTATGAGTCATCTTTTAACTTACAAGTCATCTTTTCAGCGTGTAAAATCACTTAAGCCATTTGTTAAATTTTTTAATTTTGATAATTTTATCTTTTAGTTTTAAAATTTTTATTTGTTTTTCAAAACTCCAGTTTTTGCTGAAGTTTGTAACCTTGGTTGTGAATTTATTGATAAAAGTAGGATAGTTCTTTTATGTTCTGTGGCTGATAGCTCTAATATCTGAACTTTGTGGAGTATTTTTTATTGTCTGCTGATTTAGCTTGCTTTCCTTCATCGTTTCTTGTTTAATTGTTTGCCTAGGTATGTTTTGCAGTGTTTTGTACATTAAATTTCAAAAAATATTTTCAGAAATAATTTAAATTCTATGATGATACCATATTTCTCCAGAAAGGACTTTTATGCATTTTAGTCAAACACACAGTAATAAAACCACCCATACCAACTTAATTTAAGTTCAAGTTCTAAGGTTCCTCCAACCATCCAGATTATGTGATATAAGGCTTTAAGTGGATGTGAGGTTTTTAAGATTACCTGCACCATGTCCCTGAGAGCATATCTCTTCAGGGCCTCACTGAAAGTGAGGAGTGGTTTATGAGTGTCCTCATGTTTGAAGAGCCCTTGAATTTGGTTTTAACTCTTTAACCCTGAGAAGCTTCCAAAACTTATCATGGTTTAATTGTTTCCTTTTGATTAGTGTATATCTTTAGGTCATAGAGGATGTTGAATGCTAGGATTATTTTTAGTGGGTTTTTTTTTTTTTTACTGTCTTCTTAAAATTTTTGCTCTAGAGACTTTCTGTTTCATATTTTCTTATCTATATCTAAATCTTTGAAGCTTTAAAGACTATTCAAAGGTGTTTTATCCAGATTTTTAATAATTATGGGTCAGAATTAACTGATTTACCATTATAGAAGCCTGAATTACATAAGAGGAGAGAATTATGCAACATAGTAAAAAGAAATTGATATTTGAAGAGATGAGGTAACTTGTCCAAGGGTCACAGCAGGACATTGCTTTAGCTCCAAAAATCCATGTCTCCTGATGGGTGTTTGTACTGCATCAGGATGCCTCTTGGAATAACAATGAATAGGCAGTGTACAATTTAATTTGGGGGAAGTTGCATGCATCTGTTCTACAGTATATTAGAATAAATCACAGGGGATTTGTATTTTTCCTTTGGCAAGAAATCATGAGAAGTTTATCTTAAATATGTCAGCAGCAAAAATTCATACACTTAAAAAGTATCTAAAAATAAATAATAGATCAACATAAACAACAGCAATATTTTATTATACAGTAAATTTATGGGAAATATTTGTGACTAAAGTCACATGTTAAATTACAGACATTAATTTGCAAAGTCTATACAATTTTTTTCCCACAGTAACATTGGTTCTAAAACATCAATGTCTGTTTTGTTTCTTAAGTCAGAAAACCAGTATCAAAAACAATTTTACCCATAATCTAGTAGGCTAATTATAATTAAGTAATACTTTAAATTGATAGCTAATAGGTGTATAGCATTAGCTAAATGTCATATAACTAGCATGAATAATTAATATCTGGAAATTGTGATTTCCTCTGCAAGTAAGTAGTATCTTTGAACTTGCTAACATATTTTTTTCTGAAAGTAATTTTATTATTCTGCTTATTTGTGCAAGTTTTACTTACATACTCCACTGAAGAATACTAAAATCATCTGATTCTCTAGTTATGGTGATTGGTGTCATTGATTGATTTTATATGTGTATCCCCTAACATAACAAAACAGTGTGATGATTAACTGACCATAATAATTGTGTTTAAACCAACAATCTAGAAAGAATATTTTATCATTTTATTAAAAATAGTAAAGAAACCTGACATGAGATAGGACTAGAAGGACTAGATAGATACATTTTCTCTAATGTTAATCTCTATGTATCCTAATCTTTAATATATTAACATAACATACTTGCATTGATATTTTAATGCCTGAAATAAAGATATTAAAATGTAGGATATTTTAGGAAATAAAATAAATCTAAGCAACATACCTGTTGAGCCACTGCTGCTGCCAAATTTCCACCAGCACTGTCTCCAGAAACACCAATTCTTTCAGGATCTACGCCATATTTTTCAAGAACATCTTGGTGTAAGAACCACCTTAATGCATTATATACATCTTCAAATTGACTTGGAAAATGATATTTAGGTGCTAGTCTGTAGCTGTGGGCAGAATAACAATTTAACGTCCATTATTTTCAATCTAAGAAATGCGTGTGTACTTGTTCTAACTCTAAAATCAAAAGTAAAATTTTTCTCTAGCAAACCTGATTTTGGGGTCATTATAAATCCAAAGATGGATTTCATCCTTATGATGTTGCTTGATTTGAAAACTTTTATAAATGTCATTTTTACAACACTTGAATAAAAATCTGGATTAGGTTTAAGAAAAATAAAAACAGGAGTTAAGTTCTACTAGGTAATTTCTCCCAGAATGCTAGATTTTATAATCATTACACTTTGGTGGTAACCAATAAAAGGCAAAAAAATAGTTAGCAATTATTCTAACAATATAATGACCAAGTTGGCATGTAGTCACTTTGCTATGAAACTATGTTTTTTCATATCTTCTTAATTTTTCTGCTCATTCCCTTTGGGATTATTTTCTAGTAATTATTAATCTACAATGCTTTTTGAGAATAGATTTTGCTTGTTCCTATGTGTGTTTGGTGACTAATTGCTTTTAATGAAGGGTTACACTATGACTCACACTGTACTACTTTAAATGCACTTTATCATCTAACCCTCAAAACAACCCTATTATGTAGAAAATAGCATATGATTCTTAGTTTACAGCTGAGGAAACAAAGCTAAGAAGATAGTATTCAACTTGCACAAGGTCATAGAATTGATTTAGAACCAAGATTTCAACTGGCTTCTCTGATTCAGAAGCCCTTATTCTTATTTACTCTGCTAATGAGAGCTAGGCTAGAAATCCAGCAGGGGTAATTTTATTTTTCACAGTATTATAATTTAATGAATTATCATAAAATGAGCACTCATGTGTACATTACTCAGGTGGACAATTAGAGCATTTCCAGTCCTCAAGCATCGTGTACCCATCAGCAGAGGTAATTTGTTCATGAGATGCAATAGTTTAGTTTTATTCTAATTATTTCTAAACTTCCTGTTTTTGATTCCTATTTGATCTAACTTACTATTTTCTCTCTGACTCTGTTCTTTTCATGCTCAAGTTCATTTTCCCTATGCTCACCCTCTCAATTTCACCTGGAACTCTCTTAGCATAACCAAGTTTATGACCAAAAAAGCAAGAATATCTTAAATAAGGCACCTTGCCAAAAACTAAAGAAACCAACAATGATCTTACTTGGTTGATATGACAACAGCATCAAGTCTATCAGCTGTCCGTCTTGACAGCAGGTCATAATCAAAAAAAGCTGAAACAAAAGAAAATAAAATTAGAGACTGCCAAATGAACTGATGAGTGCTTGTTTCAGTAGAAAGCCTAATTCACCTTGTTCCTCATATGTTCTAGAGAAAATATTTCTACTAATAATATTTCATCATAGCTATAGAACATGAGTTCTGCTCAGTGATGCTTTTACATGTGCATTGCCAGCGTTCTTGTCCTTTCCTGTATATTTACACTTGATAATTTAAACCAGTTTTATTCTCCTCAAGATTAATCTCTGCTTCCTTCATTTAGTAGGTGTTGGGTGTTAAAAGTTCAAATACATAAATGTTAACTGCCCCCTGACTTTAAGGATGTCACAATGTACTATAGTTAGGAGTAGAGAGGGGCAGGCATATACACCAAAAGCAATAATGAAAAAATAATAGTTGCCTTAATGGAAGGGTACAGAAAGAGCTCTTTGGAAATTGTAGACAGAGAAGAGAAAAGACGAAGTAGGGAAAGCCGAGATTTGATTTATGTATTCATATTTTCTAGGTACACAAGAAGGAACGTGTTTGCTGTTATGTTTTGTTTTGTTTGGCGTGTGTATAAAAACTGGAAATGGGCCATACATCTTTGTCATTGCACTTGGGCAAGGGCCCTTTTTGCAAGTAAGAAAATTTTTAAAAGATAAAATAGAATTTGACAGTGATAAGTGTTTGGAGAGATCACAAAGTGCTAAAGGGAAGGGGCAGGATAGGGTCAGAAAGACCGTATCTTGTGGTCCATGAAAAGAGTAGTAGATATTATCTTGTGACATTTCCAAAATTAAGTGCCGAATATTCTTAAAATGTCAAATACACACAAAGTGTTAAACTTTTATTTAATCTTTATTATATAAATGCTTATATTTTGGATTAGAATATAAATTTTTACATTTCTCTCTCTTTTTCTTTTATGTTTCTCTTTAATATTGAAATAGGAAGCATCAGGCAAATGCTCTTTTGTTCCAAGGCCTGTTCTTTTCCTTAATAAACATTCTTATTCTTCAGGGATACTTCGATGGAAAAGTTTTTAAAGAAGTACTTTGGGTGCAGAGATTCATGAAAACTGTGATGTATCATAGTCAGATTTTGTGTTAGAAATATCACTGCATTGTCAGCTGATGATTTTACTGCCTGAATTTATAGAAAATGATAGACAGAATCACCTTAGTTACAGTTCCAACTTACATTTCCAATCTATATCAATACCCACCAATACCTCTTATCCTTCTGTCACAGGTAAAGACATGATCCTCCTCTCCTGTATTGCCAATCCTTCCTCTCTGGATTTAATCCAATCCCCTTCCATATTTTCTAGGTCAGATGAACTCCCACCCCTTCCTCCAGCCCTCACTCTGCATATTTCCCCAACATACCTTAATTTACCACCATCTTAACTTCAGCTGATAAACACATTCATAGACCTCCCATATACAAATATAAAATGTATTTAATATAAAATATATAAAACATGAAATATAGATTTGTAAATAAAATTAAAATATTAAATTAAATATCAAATAAAATTATATATAGTAAAATATTTTATTACATATAGTTATAGAAATATATACATACATAAAATAAAATATATATATTCTAATATAAAAATAAAATACCTGTATTCAACTTTGTTTTTCTTTTCTATCTAGCACCTTCTTTCTCATTTCCTTTATATCTAAGCTTACTGAAAGGCTAGAGTCACCATCTCTATTACCTCATATTTCATCCACCATGTAACTGCTTCATTTTTGTTTTTAGTGTAACATTCCATTAATCTATAATTAACAATAAATTCCTAAGTTCATGAAACACTTTCTCTTCTTATCTGAGATTTGCTACAGCTTTTGATATCAGTTATTCCCTCTTTCAGAAGAAGATGTAAAATAGTTCCTTTAAACCAGCATAACTTAAAAGAAATAAATTTTAGACAGCTGAAGTGTTTTGTTATCTGACATATATGTCTTGATATGTTGGAGTCAACATCTCAATAAAATGTAAGTTATATAATAAAATAAAAGTTTCAACCAGGAACACATACCAGCATCCCCCAAACACCAACCACCACCATGGATATAAAATAAACCTCTTCTTAGTATCTCTGACTTTCGGTTTGGCACATATACGCGGACAGGAACATTATTGAAAGTTGTCTCCGTCACAGTGACATTTTCATCAGATGTGATGGGGACTTCTAGAAAGCTCATAAAGAAATTTAAAGTGTCCATGATATGGCTGATTCCCAAGAGTTCAGCAAACCAAGCCTAAAAGAAGACAGACAGGAAAAAAAATACTAGATTACAAATATCCAGTGCCAATATTATTCATGAACATAAAAGTATGTATATGTGTTCTCAATGGTCCTGTGTCATATTCTCAAATGTGAATCTGAATGACATAGTTAGAAATACTGGAGGTTTAGCTGTGTTACCCGCAATAGTTGCCTAAGGTAAAAAAAAAATATTAAACAGTTATCGAGGATTACAACTTGTCAGATTTCATGCTAGATATTAATAGTTTGAGTCCAAAGACAAGACAAGTTCTCTACTTTAAAGAAGTTCAGATTCAAGTGGGAAAAATGGATATATAAGCAGTTACAAAACGGCATAACTGCGTGTCTCATAGACATATATATAAAGAGCTTCGGCAATGGCCAACGAGTCTACTTGTTGCCAGGACATGGGAATTGGGGAGGAGTTTCCAAATAGTAAGTGAACTCTGATGTGAGTACTGAAAGGGGAATAGAGTTTGGCCAAACAAAGGAAGTAATCTCATCCTAGGCCAAGGGAATAGCCACTGGGGAACTTCTATTATAATCAGAGAAATGCATGTAGTTTAGTAATGGTATAAAGTCAGGCCCAGAGAGGAATGCATGAAAGAAAAGGGACCTGAAGAGGTAAAAGGGAACCAAACTATGACAGACCACTAATGTTGGTACTCCAAAAATCAAAAATACTTGTTTCAATTTTAAATTAGGAACATGTAGACTACCAGGCTAGATGACCAAACAGCTGGGCCAACCTCTTTCCCATTATATGAAGATTAAACATGTCCAAAGGAATAAGCAAAATTGTCTGTTTCAACACTGAATCATCCCCACCACATTTCTGAAAGGGAAGCCAGGGAAAATAATTCCCAGTGTTCCTCGCCAGTGTAACTATAGATTAAATTATTTTCTCTGTGCCACTGTTGGTATTCATAGACATTGACAAATGTGTGGCTTTCAATGCTTCTTCTTGTCCTCCTGAGAATTACCATTTCAGTAATGCAGGAAGCTGCAATATTGGTAACTTCCCTTCACTCCCCATTCTAAAGACTGTGTATCTCAAATGCCCTATTCTGAATCAGGTCCCATTGAGATACTTATATAATAGTAGTGTCTATGTTCTGACAAAACAACAATTTATAGAAAATACAGTCACGGAGTTCTCAAACAAAAGAACCTTTAAGGTATGTGTTGGAATTAGGTATCTGACCTAGTTAGATTTAAAGACAGTAATGGACTCATTGCGAGTGTAAAAGGAGAGTCTGTTAATGCATGAAATGCAATAGCAAACTAGTTATTTAGTTTAACACCTATCATAGTTCCTATTAAGGGAGAGCTTTGAATGACCAAGCAGCTATTACGTAAAAACATTATGGAGAAAATAATAAGTTCAAGCAGTGACTGCACTTGAAAGGTTACACAAAGAAAAACTACATTCTTAGAGTTTTCTATCTGAAATCACAGTCAGAAATGAAGATGCCACTATACCTTCCCTGAAAGAAATGTCTTATCTCTTACATCTCTGTCTAAAAATAGAACCAATGAATGATCTTGCAGATTGTGGAATTGCAATGCAAAGTGAATTCACAGTCCTAGAAAATGTTTTAGCTGAAAGTTAAAGCCTGTCTAACATTCACATCTAAATAATATTCTTAGTACTAGATTAGAAACATTTGTATTGATTCTAATACACCTAAACATCCTGAACTCCCAAATCCCATCAAGCCTTCCCTAGCAGAAGCAGCAGCAACCAGTCTCAGCAGTAGATGCATTTAGGGAAGGTTAGATGCCAGAACTTTCCTGGAGATTTCAAAGAAAAAGATATATTGAAGTTAATTCTTTCTAACCTGAGTGTTTATTGGCTTGCCAAGCTGATGAGTCCCCTTTAAGAGCACTGGGGCCCTTAATGCACCCCTTCCTCGAGTTCCCTGTGAGAACTCAGAAATGAGTTGGTAGCAATGGGGTCTCTTCTGGGACTCCCTTTTGGTCAATCTCAGAGGAGTCCCTGAGGAATAAGTTAATTCTGGGAGAGAGGGTCCTCAATGCAGGTGAATATGTTATGCCAGAACAAAACTTACTGAAGGCCCCTATGTGCAAAAGACAGTGATAGAAGGTGTGATGGATTCAAGATGCTTGTGATATAGTTTTCAATCTTCATAGACTGTATGAATAAGCTCCACTCTACTCATAAATAAACTCTTATACAAGGCAGAATGAGGAAAGATTTTGAAAAGGCTGTTCAGGTGGGAAGAGGAATAAGATCAGTTCTAACTGACCAACATAGAGAACATTTCTGATGAATGTCCTATTTGATCTTAATATGTTGGTTCTGAAAAATTGTGAGTGTTTCAAAATTTTCAATTCCGAGAAAAAGGAAAGAGCGATTTGATCAAAGGCTTGAATAAAGGCAAGGAATTTCACAGGTGTTTGCAAAAACTATTTTATCTGGAAGCTAATTTTCTTGGGCTATATGGTTGAAATTATCCTGGGAAGCTCTGTTGAGGCTGCATTGTGGAGAGCCGTTTTCAAAACACAGCTGTTCATTTTATCTTTACAGGAATATTCACAGGCAACTTAAAATGTTATAACTAGCCAATAACAAAATAAATGATATGTTATGATATATATGTATAATTAAATATAATGATTAAAGAAATTACTAAAATTTTAAAAATTGTGAGCATTTGAAATATAATCCTTGAGTTAAACTACATGATAATCTCTCCATAATTTTATAATTTATATATTGAAAGATTTGTTCTAATTATTATTCTGCATTATTTAGTTTAATATTGTTTCAGACTAATTTCATCCAAAATATAATATGGACATATAATCAGTAGTTGTTATTAGATTTTTCCTGAAGTTAAGAAGTTAGTTATAGTCAAAAGAAATGGTAAAAGGTAGCAAGTAATCAACTAATAGAGAGAAAGATAGATAGGGATAAATAAGTACTAACAACTTCATAATATAATTTCACTTATATAATGTACTCTATGTATTTATACTATTATAAACCTTATTTAAATCCATAATCCATGCCCAAATCTCTATTCATATGCAAATCTATCCCCATGCCTACATCTATATCTATATATTATTTCTATAAAACTTCTAGGACAGCTGTCATGATAGAAGGAAGTGTGGAGGGCCCTAAATGTGGTAGATCCTGGAAAAAGACAATAGGTATTTGCACTAAGAATGAATGTGCCTCACCAGGACTCCTACAAACAGGACTAAAATATAATAAGGTTTGATTACTGGGATAAATAGCTAAAAAAATCCAAAAAACTCAGAATTATCCAGGAAGGTCCAGAGGTAAATGACTATAAAACAACCAAATTTCTAAAGTGGAGGATAGGCTGGGTGTGGTGGTTTACGTCTGGAATCCTAGCACTCTGGGAGGCTGAGGCAGGAAGATTGCTCGAGCTCAGGAGTTCGAGAGCAGCCTGAGCAAGAGCGAGACCCTGTGTCTACTATAAATGGAAAGAAATTAGCCAAACAACTAAAAAAAAAAATTAGCCGGGCACGGTGGCACATGCCTGTAGTCCCCGCTACCCGGGAGGCTGAGGCAGGAGGATTACTTGAGCCCAGGAGTTTGAGGTTGCTGTGAGCTAGGCCAATGCCACAGCACTCTAGCCCAGGCAACAGAGTGAGACTCTGTCTCAAAAAAAAAAAAACAACAAAAAATTAAAGTGGAGGATAACATTGAAAAGGAGCGAATGGGTGTATGCTTTACTAACAACAAACATCAATAGACTAGGGAATTCAGGAAGGCTGGAGAGAAAAAAATAGGTGAAAATATAAAGGAGGGTTTTATATTTATATCTATATCTACCTATTAATCTATAGCTATGGATTGATAGATAATTTAGCTGTATGTATAATTATAGCAATATATAAATATAAATTTTATATATAGAATATATACTTTAATATTTATAAATATTATGTATAAATATATAAACATTATATATAAATTTATTGCAGCAATAGGAGTCCTAGAGTACTAAAACTAAAGAAAAAAATATCTTGGCCCTGCCTCTATTCCCTAGATAATTCCTGTATAGTTTTTTCAAGAAAAGCCATCTGATTAAAATGTGAATAATGCAAAAGTGGTATACATAACATGCATGCTGGGTACTACATATTATATGAAAAATAATAACAATCTCCAACACATGAAGAAAACAAACTAGAAAAAAGTTGCTATAAAGATAAAACATATTACACAATATTCTAAAACAAAATGATGAGCCAAAATAAATATTTTGTACAGGCTGTGCTCAGGGGTTGAATAAATAAATAAATAAATAAATAAATATTTTGTATATAATTCAAGAATAACTTTTAAAATACAAGGCTTGAAGCTACATTCCAGTGAAAATGACCCAAGTCCAACAAAAACATACAGTTGACTTTTGAACGACATGGCTTTAAACTGCTCAGGTCCACTTATACTCGGATTTGTTTCAACTAAACCAGCAGATCAAAAATGCAGTATATGTGGGATGCAAAATCCACCTATAAGGAAAGCCAGTGGTATATGCTAATATGATTACTAAAGATAATGAAATAACTAATAAGAAAATGAAAATAAGACATGTATCATGCTTGAATTATTATTATTATATCATTATTAATAATACTTATATTATTATATTATGTTATTATTAATATTGATTTTTTTGCTACAGGGAGGCAATTTGCTATGAAGAAGTTTAAAGGAAATAATGTATGGTTTCATTTTCTAGTAATTAGCCTCATCGTAAAAGAACAACAGGTCTCTGAGGGCCGGCATGGACATTGGTGGGCAGCCAGGCAGCTGCCTTGTGACCTCAGTTGTTCCCAAAACTGGTTATCACATGTGCCCCATTTTTCCCATGGCTTTTTATCAGTTGTCCTTTCTACAAAATATTTCATTAAGAATATTTTTAACATCTGAATCCAAGATTATTGCGTAGAATTTTATGTAACTAATCACAGTGCTGCTCAATCATACCTTTTCTGAAGTTTGTACTTCAGCCATGCTTTGTTCTAGCAGTATTCATGCCATGAAACTCACAATAAGACTTTTTGTTTTTCTTAGCCAGCACATTTTGTTTCTGAATATTTGAAATTAAGACTACTTGAATACTTCCTTCATGTTCATTCTGTTAGGGGTCTGCATTAAGGAATGAAGATTTTTTTAAAAGTGTTTAAAATCAGCAAGTAACTTTAAAAGCAAAATTTCCAAGAGAGTAGAAATTAAAAAAAAAAAATAAAGCAGGTAATTATTTTCTCCTGATTTAACCTTAAATATTCACATAAGTGATAAAATTCTGAACTTACCACATCGGTGACCATTTTCAAATTTGTGGTTGTCCACACCAGTTTCCAAGGCTTCTCAATATTATCTGGGAAAGGAGTGTAAATGTAATATGCCCCAAGGACTCCAACAATCAGAAACAAAATCATTTTTTTCCCCATGATGTTTCTTTGCTGCTCTTTCTAATTTGGCAATACAGCAAATACACTTTTGAAACATTCAGATGCTGAATTTTCATAGTTAGTCTTGAATCCCATCATAAAGTGTTACCTAACTTCCTGAGTACAAATTCCACTGCTTAGCTTGTCATTTGATAGGCAGTTTAGAAATAACTCTACTTAGCAGAAATACAATGGAGAGCTCTGCAAGACTAACAGCACTTACATTGATTGTCTGCAAGTTCTAACAGATTCAACAACCGTATTATATTGCAAGGCAGTTAATAAAGAAACATATATTGCACAATTATTAGGTGCACATTATTTTTTAGAGGACCATTTTAAAGTACAGGAAACCCAGTATAAGTCTCAAATAACAAATCTTAGAGTAGAGGAGAACAAGAAGAATATTTAAATAGTATTGTGAGATTTTAGGAAGTAAGACAGGCATGGTCACATGTAATACACATTATTTTTATTCTTTTGCTACAAATACAATTATTAGTCAATAATATGAATTACATTAAATTATACAATAATCATGAAGATAGCTCACAGTTTTGAGCATTTACTCTGTATTCCAGGTGGTGTACTAAAATAATTAAAACTTATTTAGTCCTCTCAATAGTATTATTGTCATTGCAGAGAAAACTTGAGTCTGAGGAAAGTTCAGGAAGTTGTACAAGCTCACTCAATCATATTTAATGAAGCCAGTGCAGTCCTCTCTGAGAGCACATTAAAGATAAGCAATTGAGATTAAGAATATGTAACTTGCCAAGGTCATAAAAAACCCAAGTAGAAATGTCAGAGACATCTATTGCTCACTGAATATCCATGTGCTCCTCTGCTGTGGTCTGAATGTTTGTGTTCTTCCCAAATTTCATAAGTTGAGACCTAACCTCCAGGGTTAAGTATTAAGAAGTGAGTTCTTCAGAAAGTGATTAAGTCATTCTGCTTTCATGAATGGAATATTTGCCCTTATAAAGGAGGCTTGAGGGTATGTGTTTAAGCCTTCTGCCATGTGAGGATGCAGCTAGAAGGCACCATATATGAGGCAGAACTAGCTCTCACCAAACACTGAATCTGCTCACCTTGAACTTTGATTCCCCAATTTCCAGAACTATGATCAATAAAATTCTATTGCTTATAAATTACCTAGTCTACGTATTTTGTTATAGTAGCCCAAAAAACTATAATACTCTTTATAATTTTTGGGTCCCTTTTAGTTAAGTGAGATTATGGGACAAGTTCCAGCCACAGATATCTGATGTGAAATCATGTATATATCACTTCCAAGCAGAAGTAGTTAAAATCCACGAGACATGAAAACAATCTTTTGAATGGTGGCGTTACAAAATATAGGTAGTTTGGATTGCTAAGTGACTCAAGGGTTCAATTGATCAAACTCCATAATAATTTTCTTGAGGAGCAAGAAAATTTCATGCCAAGTTTAAGGTATTGTATGAGTTAATCTTCATATCAAATTAAACATATTTTATCACTTACTCCTCTTATCAACACGAAAATGTAAGAACTAGTATTATAAGAGGCTATCTTTCTTTCTCAAGGTCACATCATTACATATTTCCAAAGGTAACATTTAGCCTGGATCCTCTGGTGCAGAATTCTTTATTCTTAAGACTCTGAAAATTAATAAAATGTAGAAATCTAAAAGAGCTAGTATGTCCATGTAGCATATTATGAATGTATGGAGTGTGTTATGAATATTTGTGTTTATATGTTGAAATCCTAACTCCTTATGTATTGGCATTAGGAGATTGGGCCTTGTGGATGTGATAGGTCATGAAGGTGGAACCCACATGAATAGAATTAGTGCCCTTAAAAAGGAGACCCCAGAGAGCAATCTTGTCCTATTCTACCATGTGAGGACACAGTAGGAAGACAGCCATCTAAGAACCAGGAGGCAAACCCTCAGCAGACCCTGAATCTCCCAGAAGCTTTATCTTGCACTCCCCAGGCTCCAGAACTGTAAGAAATAAACGTTCATTATTTAAGCCACCTAGCCTATGGTACTTTTGTTACAGCAGCCTACATTTGTCAAAATTCTTAAGAACAAGAACCAATAGGAGTAGATAGATACAGATACACAATCACGCATCACTTAATAATTGGCATAGTTTCTGAGAAATGCTTCACTAGTTGATTTTGTCATTGTATGAACCCCATAGAATGTACTCACACAATATTAGATGGTATAACCTATTGTACACCAAGGCTATATGCCTGTTACTCCTAACTACAAACTTACAGCATGTTACTGTACTGAATACTGTAGGCAATTGTAATTAAATGTAATTAAATATCTGCCTAATATACAGATATATATAGTATAAACTATATAAAATAATAGTATAAACTGCCTAATTATTTCTATATCTAAACATAAAAAGGTACAGTAAAAATATGACATTATAATCTTATGGGACCACCATTATATATGCAATCTGTCATTGACCAAATCATAGCTATGTGGTGCATGATTGTGTGTGTGTATATATATAATATATACACAAAATAAGAGATTTATTATGGAAGTTGGCTCAGATTATCATGGAGGCTGACTAGGTCCCACCATCTGTCATCTGCAAGCTGGAAAACTAGGAAAGCTGGTGGTGTAATTCAGCCTGAGTCTGAGGCCTGAAAACCAAGGGAGCTGATGGTATACTCATCATACTCATCATATTCTTATTTTCCTCTAATTTCTTAAACATATAGAGCATATTTACAATAGCTGTTTTAAAATCTTTGTCTACTAATTATATAATCTCTGTCATTACTGGGTCTATTGAATAATTTTTCTTCTGGTTTAAATTTTACTTTTCCTTGTCTTCAGATGTCTGTTAATTTTTCATTAGATACAAGATACTGTAAAGCTTGTATTGTTGATTGCAAAATAACTTTTATTCCATTAAAGTGTTGGGATTTTTTGTCACACATTAAGTTGCTTGGAATCAGCTAGATACTTTTAAGGTTTTCTTTTATGTTTTGTTGAGTGAAGGTCTAGCATAGTCTCTAGGGCTAATTTAGCCCAATTATTCAAGTGATACCCTGCTGAGGACTCTACCTGATGCCCCATGTATAAGATCTTTCCACTCTGGCTAGTGAGAACACAAACAATTTCGAGCCCTGTGTGTGCTCAGGAATTGTTCCCCCTTTTCCTTTCCAATGTCCCTTTCCTCTCTGTAGTTTCCTTTCATTCATGTGTAGCTCAGCAAGCAGCTAAAGATTCAAGAGCCTCTGAGGATCACCAGAGTTCCTTTCTGGTATTCTAATATACAAATTATAGACCATTTTAGTCTCCCTAGACTCTAATAACTGTCTCCTCGATTCAAGTGACTAATATTTCCTTTAGGATTTTTCCTTCTTGTACTGAAGCCTGAAAACTGCCTCCAGTTAGTAAGTGCAGACAATTTGAAGGTTCACTGTGTGTGATTCCCCTTCTGTTGGGCATTAAAGTTCTGTGCTTCCTGTGTTCCAATATCTGAAAACTGACATTTCATGTACTTTTATGTTATTTATAAAAAAATTTTAGAGTTATTTAAGTCAAAAAGGTACATCCAGTCTCTTGTATTAATCTTTGCTGGAAGGAAAAGTCTAGCATTATTTGAAAGATACTTTTGCCGAATATATCATTTTAAGTATTCTTTTTCCAAACACTTTAAATATGTTATCCTATTGTCCTCTGTCTGGTACAGTTTCTGAGAAGAATTCTGCTATTCAATGAAGCTTTGTACCACTGTATAAAATGTATCTTTTTACTCTCGGAGGCTGCTTTTTTTTTGAGACATAAAAGATAATCAGCTGGTACTAGCAAAATATCATTAATATAATTTTGGGTTCATAACACATAAAATTAAAATATATAACAATAATAAGTCAATAGATGTGATGAAAGAAATAGCAGTATGCTGTTGCAAATTTTTTACTATTTATGTGAAGTAGTATATTATTTGAAGTTATATGTGATAACATAAAGATGCATATTACAACCACTAAAGCAACCATTAAAAATAATAAAACCAAGATGTGTCTCTCATAACTCAATAGTGGAGAAAAAACTTAAATAATAAAAAAAGTGTATAAAATGATGAAAAAAGAATAAATGTGATAAATAGAAAACGAATAGTAAGAGGACTTGATCCCATTCATATGCTTCCCAGATATATCATTTCCATGTCACCAAAGAGCTCTGTCGTAGTGTTCCATATTTAACAGAAAGTCTTGCTGATGTTACCCATGACAGAAAACATATCTCAGCTATTTATATTATCTGGTGGACTTCTGTGATAGAAGCTTTTTTTGACAATGCACAAAAATAGACCAACATTGGTTGTTCAAAAAGCATTACTATGCTGCTGCATCAAGTAGATTTTGAATCCCAAATCCAAAAAGACAGAGCTGGGTGACAGAACTTGACTTCTACTAGAGTCTCCATCTGCAGTGTCTGAGTGATGGACACCTCCAAAGTAATCTGTGCATGCCTGTTATTGTTCTGGGTCCAGGTCAAATTCAGAATTATTGCCAGTAACTTAATGCAAAGGAGTGTGTAGGGTGTGTACATTTGTGTGTATACCTACCAATATACAAATAGCCTGCAGGCATTGTGCTTCTTTTTATCATCCATCCACTAGAGATAGTTTTTTTATTCCATACATCTGTGGAATGTAAATAGGGGTCCTGGACCAAGTTATTCTTAGAAATTTTATTTATTAGCTTGGCTCCTATATTTTAGCCAGTTTGATTAACCATCCTCAACTAGTCAATTGCATCAGCATAGTCTTTCATTTTCTCCTCAGAGAGAAATTATCCTATTATTACTATTATAAATGAATTATCTTCCTCTTAATATTAGGGTCAAATTATCTTCCTCTTAATAATAGTCGGGTCAAAATTCTCCCTAATATAATGAGGACAGCATGTTAGAGGTCTCAAATCTCCCCGGGGGTGTGGAAGGGGGCAGAAATATTGGAGTCCTGCTCAAAGAAAAAAAATTGTGCCTGAATTTTTTATGAAGGTAGAATAAAAAAGAAAGCATTGGCTAAATCTATAACAGTATACTAGTCAACTTTAGCTTGCTGCTCTCCTCAAGGAGGTTTCATCATGTTGGGCAGAGCAGCG